CATGATTCGTGTGAGGGTGTAGTACTGACACTGAAGATTATGAACCCACCTCCATGGAAGTAGATAATGATTGGGAGCTTCGAGTTTGGAGGAAGATTACAAGGTTTGAAGATGCGAATGGAGGTGTTGGTTGTTGGGTTCAGAGGGATGTCTTTGGAGAGAGCGATTTGGGTTGATTTTGAATCGTCACCGGTAGTGTTTTCCGGCTTTGGAAGGAGCTTTGGAAATGCTTCGATTCGGTTGAATGAGCCATTTGGGTTTGGATAAAGTCCAGCGGCTTGTAATAAATCGATGGATGTCTTTGCCGTTGATGGTTGCTCAGCCATGGTTGATTGGAGAGAGAGTGAGAGAGACTATTTTGCATTACTGTAGAAGGGTTTTTATGTAATTATACCGCCGATCCTATTGATGGATTTAGATATCCCAAAATTTAGGTGGGATAACTGGAATCGGTTCTAATGATATAAGTGGGCTAAAAGCATACGGTCCCATTTTTTAAGCCCAACGATTATCTCATTTCATAACAAGTGTCCAAAATTAGGTTTTATGGGCCTCCAGATAATTTTACCCAATTTAAATTGTGTTATCCCCTTGCATCCATCAAACTAAACACAAATGTAAAGTAAAAAACACAAGATTTTTACTCTTTTGTAGTGAAAAATATTCAAAATAACGGTAACTTAGAAAGCATACAAGATTTTTGTTATTTCTGTTGCATTATTGGTTTATTTGGAGGAATAGGAATGAATTTTTGTTCCAAAACTTGGAGAATGACCCCGGGGTTGCTAGTGCAAACTGTAGTAGGGTATCTTGACCAGTTTGAGAAGGCTACGGAGGTGGACTTCATGCAAAACAATGTATCAAATCTTGTTCGATGGTCTCCCCCAAGCTCAGGTAAATTTTGATGGGACAGTATTTAATTCTGAATGGTCGATGGGAGTGGGTGTTATTATCAAAAATAATTCTGGGTTATTTATTGCGGGGATGTCGAAGAAGATAAGTATGGTATATGATGTGCAAACAACAGAGATTATTGCTGCAAGGGAGGCTTTGTTATTTGCTAGGGTAGATGGATTGTGAGGAGATCACACTGGAAGGGAATTCATCCTCTCGTGATGAAGATGATAGTTGATTCTCAAGAGAATTTTTCTCCTTTAGGATCTATTATAGCAGATATTAAGTGTCTCATACATACTTTTACTTATTTCTTGCTTCTACTATTAGATGTACTGGCAATGGTGTTGCGCACCATCTTGTTAGAATGGCTAGATGTTACGAACATTTTCATGTGTGAGAGGATATGATACTGGAGTCTTTGATACCAATTCTCTATTCAGATGATTCTAATTAATACATTCTATCGTTTCTGTCAAAAAAAAATAAAAATAAAAAGCATACAAGATTAAGTGAATTCTATCTAATGTTATAAATATTAATAGTTTTTTACATGTATTTATTAATCAATTTATGGTATTTACATTAAATATTTTCTGGCCCCGTTAGAACATAATAGACCAGACTGTACTAAGATTTATTAACAAACAGAAGTTCATGTTACTGATAGTCCAATAATTTAATGCCACCTTATCACTTTCATGTAATCACACCGTTGACAAGTTCAGATAATTTCCTCAAGAAAAGACAATGAGGATTGTTGATTTTTCTCCTGGTTTCATTCATTGCAGAACTGTACCCTTTTTATGGCAAGTGAGTTACTGTAACTGAAACCTCAGGGGAGTTACCAAAATCTCTCTCTCTCTCTCTTGTGTGCTTTGTAAGTCCATCGGGCCTGTTCTGCTGTTCAATTTGGAAGTATGCTCTTTTCATTTATTCTTGTTGATTTGTTGAATCTTATTTAAATTTTCTCGTTTTAGTCGATCTAAGCCTTTACCCATTTTGGTCTTACTTTTCTTGATCTGTTTGGGCTTTTGTATCTGCTGTAGTGGTGGTTCTTCTTAGTGTTCAAAGTTGTTATTTTTCCCTCTTTGCTTTTTTAAGTTATGAGAATTCAAGTTTCTTGATTTCATGGAGTACCCATCTTTTAGATTTCTTGGATTTCAGAGTTAATATCGTATTGATCAGAATTGAAGAGTATGTGGGTCTTGTTCGTATGATAACTAATTTGTTGAGTTGATTCTTAGGGTTTGGTTTCTATGATTTGTTTCTTTGCCTCTTTTGTTGTCATTGTTCCTCCGAAAAACACGAACTTGGACAATCGTTTCTCTGGGTGTCGTTTGTGTGAACTCTGAGTACTATAATTCAAGTTAGGGTTTTGTATTCAATGGTTTTCTTTCTTCAGCTTTGTGTATCTTTCTTGCTTTGGTAAAAAGTCTTGACTGGTGAGTTCATCTTGTTATGGATTACGGTCGAGAAACCGGGTTTTCGAATGAAAATGTGGTTCACATAGTTCCTGGAACCCCTGGGAATGGTGGTGTTGAGAATTGGGATCCAGGGTCCACTGACCAGGCAGTTTGGGCAACTGAGGATGATTATAGGGCTTGGAATAGGGAGACATCAGTTGATACTGTTTCCAATTCAAATTATGATGGAAGGCAATCCCGATCCCGGTCTGGAAGCGAGCCGCCCAACAAGAAATCAAGAAATTCCCAATCTGGGGATTTGGGGTCTAGTAATCGATCAAAAGTAATAGGAAAGATGTTCTTTAAGACCAAACTATGCTGCAAATTCCGGGCGGGGACTTGCCCATATATCAGTAACTGTAATTTTGCGCATAGTATTGAAGAACTTCGTAGACCCCCTCCCAATTGGCAAGAAATTGTGGCTGCCCACGAGGAAGAACGAGGGGTGTCATCTGAGCCAAGGGAAGAATTCCAGATTCCATCATTTGCTTCTGGTTTTATTGGGGAGACTCAGAGGTCTTATAAAGGGAGGCATTGCAAGAAGTTCTATACTGAAGAGGGCTGTCCATATGGAGATAATTGCACTTTCCTCCATGATGAACAGTCGAGAGCACGGGAGAGTGTGGCCATAAGTTTGGGTCCTGGGCCAGGTGGTGGACAGATGGGTGGTGTCGGCGGCGGTAGCAGCGGCGGTAGCCTGAAGCCTTCGAATTGGAAAACAAGGATTTGTAACAAGTGGGATATGACAGGGTATTGCCCATTTGGAAGCAAATGTCATTTTGCTCATGGGTCTGCAGGTATGATTTTCCATTTCCTTTTGCAGTTAAACATCAGAGGAAGTTGGGCATGTGACCTAGGACTAGATACACTTGATTTGAAGATGCTTATATCTTATTATCTCAATATTACTTGATTTCTTTTGGAACAACAACATTACACATTATCTCATAGTGGGGACAATTAAGGGTTCATTAATTTTAGTTTCCTTGCAAGTGTTGGTGTATGGATGCCTAGAAAAGGCACATAACACAAAAGGACTGCACCATATAAATATCCTTTTCACAACTTGTTGAATCTAATATTACTAGTTTCTTCTATATGCATGAACACATGTCGTGGAGAGCATATACACAAATTGTAGCTACATCCTTCATTTGGAGTTTGGAGAGTGATATCATCCAAAATTTCATATATTTGTTGTAGTTATAGGTTCGTGCCTATGCTTACTGCTGATTGGATTAAATTTAACAATTACAAGTTTTTATGAATGACATGAGTGGATCTATTGTTACGAATAGTATACTGGAAATATTGCAAGGCAGGCAGCTTAACCATTGTAACTTGAATTTTCAGTTACATCCTTGGATGTAATTAGGGATAGATCTAATTATAGAATGAGTCTCACTATGTGTGTGCATGTGTGTGGTGTCATTCTATAACCATTTGGTGCATAATTCTCATTTTATAAAAGGAGGCAAGGTGTCACACAAACTGTGAAGACTGTGCCTTGCTCCTGAATCCCTCAAATCATGTTTCATGAAGTAGCAAATGAGGATGCCCAAAATGACGTGCAGATTTCAAATTAAGGCTTGAGCCTCATTGGCTTTTCGAAGAAATATATATACATATATTGCATGCTTCTGATGTTCAGATCACAAGGTTTCAATCAAGTGCATGCATTTCCTTGGGCCTTAGAATTTCAGAACATAGCTCTTATATTCTTTCAGATTATATGGTTAGCTTGGCTTCAAGCTGTGACTCTGTAGTTGACTGTTCCTTTGTTCAAATGTGATTTTTCTGATATGATGAGATAGATATTGAAACTTGGTTTCTATAAGTTTATATTGAAATATGTGATCAAACAAAAAAGTTTATATTGAAATCTGATAGCTATTTTGCAGAACTGCATCGTTATGGTGGGGGTGTAATGGAGGGGGAAGTTAAAGATTTTTCTGCTTCTCTGGATCAAAAGCAGGGGATGTTGCCTTCAAGAACTTCAAGTGATAATGCAGTTCCACCTCTCATTTCAGTTCCTCACTTAGACGGTTATCATGTTGGGGTTCCACCACAGAGGTTGTCCAATGTAATCCCGAAGGTAGGGCAGAGACCCCATCAGAAGTGGAAGGGTCCAGACAAAATTAGTAAAATATATGGTGACTGGATCGATGAAATCGAGTAGAACACGAAATTCCTTGCCTGCACTCATTGAAACAAATTGGGAGGAGTCAATTATACCCTCTTCAAGTGGAAGAGAGGCAACTTTGTAGTTCTAGGACTAGGATTTGAATTAAGTGGAGCTTGAGTTGGCTTTTGTTTCCAAGTTTTTGGACATCATGTTCCCTTGTAGAGTTTGAAGCCTTTTGCAGGTTTTCAAGGCTTCACTTTGCTTATGCAATCTCTCTGTTTTACCAAATATAAAAGCCAGTTAACCCGGTTTTATCAAATATAAAAAGCCTGTTGTCCTAATTTTTTTTGTTGTGCCATTGGATCATATTTACTGCTTAAAGCTGATGGTTTGTTGTGCAGAGTGTTATTTGTTGCAGATAATCTTCCTTTTGTACACTGCAGTTATTGAGCACATCTGTCGAGTTTGGCCTAACTCAATCGCATGATGAGAATCTGCTGTCAAGATTAGACCGTATGACTTCTGCCAACCCTATCCTCAAAGTTTGTAAGAACTTCAAGATACGAAAATTATTGAATTATCAGTTACAATTTATTTGGGTCAAGTTATGTTAATACGAACAATCTCGCTTAGTTTGAGTTGTTAAAAAAAATTGGTGTACAGTTATTCGGGCCTTCTCATGTTATTTAATTTAGGGATAATTGTTTTTTTTTCTCCTTGTAGTTTCATTTAGAAGTATTTTACTTACTTTTAAAATTATGTACATTACCCTTTTATAGTGATGTACCAAAGTGAAGTAATTGCCGCCATTAACGAAATTATAAAATTATCATAATACCCATATTGGAAAATTAGATTGATCCGTCTGATGTACTCTTTTACTCATGTAATGAACGAAAATTACTACCAAGGCTGAAGCAGAAATCTTCCACTCTTTAGCATGCCGAGTCTCTTCTCCCTCAACTGGGGCTTTTTATTTGGAACTGAAAATTACTTACTCATGTTTTTCTTCAATGTTTTTTGATTTGGGATTGATGCCCTAGATTTTTGGGTATTATATCATATATTATAAAAGGTATTTTAGGCACTTAAATAATGTTTTTTTTGGAGTAAAACAACGGAAATAAAGCCCACATGATGTTTTAGGCATGTGAAGCATATTCTCTGTTAATTTGGAAGATAAAAGTAACGATTTTATTTTGATACATAACTATAAAGGGGTAATGTACATAATTTTAAACGTTAAATAGGTAAGATGCTTCTAGTCGAAACTACGGGGCTGAAAAACAATATACCCTTTAATTTATGATCTCTAGACAATGCTCCTCATCTTCATCACCAGGACTCGCTCAACGGCTCTGATTCTGACCATGGATGAGAAACCAATCGGCCCAACCCCATGCAATACATAAATGAAAATGAATCATTGGAAGGTACTTTTAGCATCAATGTTAGGGATGACAATGAAGACGAAAGAGGAGGCAGTGGCAAGAGGGATATAGCCGGAGGTCCGAGCACAGCGGAACGAGTCGAAGGACACGATGAGGGAGAAAAATTTTCAAGGTCACACTCGACGAGGCATTCAATAGCTAGGACTAAAGAAGAAGAAGAAGATAGGTTTACATTGAGACTACCGGAGCAATGCTACGCAGATTTAAAAAGTAGACTTAAATACTAGACTTGATAATCTCAACCATTGATACATAGAAAGCCCAACAAATTCCAAAAAAAAAAAACACACAAAATTTTTAAAAAATACAAACAACATTTCATGTAGCATAGGATTAATCACCAACCCCCTTTTTTCTTTTCTCTACTCCGGTTTTGGTCCTCCTTTCATTGAGAAATTGAGATGGCTACAATAATAGATACTTTAATTTTAGGCGGATGACTGAACCATGATGGTATATTAATGAAGTTTTTCAGAGATTAAAATCATAGAAATGGAAGAATTAGAGTTGTGTTACGAATCATTAACGCTATGGACTTGCTCGAATTTTTGTTAGGAAGAGACCATAGGATCTTACTTACATTATCTTGTGCAATTCATCTATTGTGACTTAGTTAAGGATTTGAATCATGAAAACAATCTCTTCGCATGAAAGATAACATTGCACATGTTTTATCTTTTCTAAAATTTGTAATGATGAGAGTCTCGTGTATTAAGTTGTTCATTTATCTTCATTTAATTACATGCAATGAAATCTATCTTATGTAGTTGGAGTTTTGTGTTGGAGCTGGAAAAAGAAATGGAAAAAGGAAGAAAGAAAGAAATTTTGATCCATTTTGGTTAGTGTGGGATGTTCGAAACTTGGGCATTTAGTTTACACAAGAAATTATGGTTTGGTAGAGAAAAGTAGGGGTGTTAATTGAGACAAGATACTCAGATTCGACTTGAACTTGACTCGAACTCGACTTGTATTTTAAACGAGCTTAGGTTTGAATAATTTTTTAGGCTCAGCTAAAAAAACGAGCCTAAAAAAACTTGACTCAAATTTGTAAAGCTAGACTCGTTTGAATATAAACTAGTTGAGCTATAATTTAACTCATCAAAACTTAAATCACTCCATTTATTAAATGGAATTAACCGATACATCTAGTTATAACTTTAACTCTTTAAGACTAAAATCATACCTAATAATATCATACAATTTTCATATCTCACTAGTAGCGAAACGGTGTGGAATCGGACTTAAATAAATCATAGACTTAGATGTTAGGAGTTCGACCTTCCATTGGTGTTTTCTAGGCTTAATTGATATTGTGATTTATGAGGGAAAGATAGATACAATGATCACAAATATCTCTTTCAAAATTATTTATCAACGGTTCAAATTATTCTATATAAATGATTCATATTTAATCTAACGGTTCCAAATTACTCTCATTGAAATAATATCCCTCCTGTTTCTATCACTTCATTTTTAGTCTTCTCAGTCATCTCTCTCCTTGATTTCCTCCCTCTTTCCTCACCAGACCATTCGTTTCCTCTAAAGGTTCAAATATCGTTTTAAAATATTTTCATTTTCAAGAATGTCGAAACAAAAATAGTGATAAAATCGAAATTTTAATATTTTGAGATATTTTATAATGTTTCAAGATGTGTTATAATATTTCAATGCATTTGTACAATTATTTCAAAATATTTTAAGATATTTTAAGTAATATATTTCAATCAATGTATTAACAAAATAATCCTTAACTATTTTTTTTCTCACTATATTTTTAAAAGGAGTCGAAATGTTTTCGAAACGGGTCGACGACCAGATCTTTCTTCAGCTTCCAACTCTGGCAACCCACCTAGCTGTTAATGTTTGTTTAAAATTGGGACTACCTCTCTCTTAGCGTTCCAGCGCCACCGTCACCAGCAAAGCGCCTCCATCACCGCCACAGCACCACCGTCACGACCACAACCATCTCCCAGGTATTTCTTTCCATTCCCCTCCCCTCTTTCTGTCTCTCTGCTTCCCAAATACACACAGAACACAATTTCCTTCACTCCCCAAACCCCAATCATAATGCCCATGAAATGTTTGTTAAAATGCGTAAGAGAAACACTGCCCCAATTCTGTCTTTGCCAGAACACATGTGTTCGACGAAATGTCGCTACGGACACTTCCCCACCGCACAGCCCACAAACACCATGTGTTCTATATTGCACTTGTTTGTGCCGTGTTTTCACAAACCTGTGTACAGGTTGAATTTATTTTTGGGTCCCATTTTTTGAAGAATTTTATTCCAGAACTATACACCAAATACATTTCCTGATTATTTTTATGAGAATTCGATTTGCACGTTTCATGGCTGAAGTTTTTCCAGTGTTAAAATTAGCTGTGTTGAAGTTGGAATTTTTTTTTTTGGACATGTGCATGCATCTAAATAAACTCTAGATAGTGGATCTTAATTTATTGAGTGTTTAATTTTTAGGAAATGTATTTGGTGTTATCCAATTGGTCACTACAATTTTTTTAGGAATACCTCATTCTGGGATGCTCCCACTGTCCCACATATAAAATCCACAGGTACTTTGATCCATAGTTCAAAATGACAATAAATATGATTTTTCATGCATTCTCACATTTTGTAAATTATTTAATCTTTCACCATGAATGAGGTAAGGCTGAGTGTTACAAACTTAAGTTGCATTATTAGAAACTGAGTGTGGATGTTTCAGGCAAGGCTCTTGAGCATGGATTGTTCACTCACAATTCATTGGTTTAAAAGGAACTTTACATATCAGCAATATAGATTGTTCACCAATATCGCCGGAAGCTTTACATATCATTAAGTTTGTTCTAGAAATTTTATTCTTGTTTCCAAGTGTTGTTGCATGTTTCATCAAAGATTGAGCGAAATTACTCCTTTGTGCATTATTTCTATTTAGTAGAAGCTTCCTTATGGTGGATCCTTTATGAAGCTAAGTTTTTTTTTTTTAGCCCATTTCCTTTTGTGCTTATTTTTATGGAGTAACCATTATTCGGCATTTTCTTATTGCTCGAGTGGAAATTATGATTTTGTGCTCAAATTGATTGTTGTTCCATTCAAGGATCAAAATGTCGTGTCGACACGTCCGAAACGTCCGAAACGTTTCGGAATTTCAACACTCCGAAACGAAACAGTAGTTGAATCACAAAATTCTAGTGTTTCGGTCGAAACGGTACTGTTTCGGACCGTTTCGATCGAAACAGTACCGTTTCGACAAAACAGTGATATATTCGGTTCATTATGAATAATTATATTTAATACCCCATTATAATTACATTTAATACCCACTGTAATTACATTTAATACTCACTATAATTATATTTAATATCCCACTATAATTACATTTAATTCCCACTGCTCTTCTGTCTTTTATAATTTTTTTGTTATAAGAATAAATAATTACACTTAATACCCTACTATAATTATATTTAATACCCATTATAATTATATTTAATACATACTGTAATTATATTTAATACCTCACTGCTGTGCAAGTTTTTTGCTTTTTTTTTTTGTTATAAGTATTAACAATTACATTTAATACCCTAATGTAATTATATTTAATACCTACTGTAATTACATTTAATACCCACTGCAATTACATTTAATTTTTAAGTATACATAAGTATCATTAATTTAATTTGATACTCTTCATTATTAGTATTATAATAAAATAGTATTATTAATTGGATTATATTACCGAAATAATATGATTTGGAGTAACTATTGTCATCATATTAATGTCACATATGGAGTTTCTCTAAGTAGCTACCTAGAGCCTACACCGATGTATGAGCCTGCTCGACACTCCACAAGGGAATGGATGTAACCATGTAAGTATGTACTCATTAGCATTTCATGTGTATTATAAGACCTTAATATTATGTAAAAATGTGTTTATTTCATAAAAATTAAGTGTTTGAAACTAATTTAAGTGACTTTCGCCTCAAGTCAAGCCTTTTTTTCCCTCAAATTTAAATTTATTCTTGTATAAATTGATGTTAACCTAATAAATATGTTGAATTAATAAATTATTTAGCATATCTTTATAAATTAATGGATTGCATTTGTGTTTCTATGCGTTTCCATATTTTTTCTGCGTTTCCATTGCGTTTCCGAAATGTTTCCGAAACGTTTCTATTTTTGAGTTGACCGAAACGGTACTTCGAAACGAAATTTTGATCCTTGGTTCCATTAGGATCATTGAGGTTACCTATCTCTT